ATGCCCATTCTGTCTGTCCGATCTCTCTGTTTATCCCGTCCTTCTCTTCGTCTCTGTCCATCCGTCAGTCCGTCCGCGTGTCCGTCTGTCCGTTCTTTCACCTGTCCAGTCTGTCCGCACTTTCACCTGTCTGCTCTTCATCTGTCCGCTCTTTCACCTGTCCGCTCGTTCACCTGTCCGGTCTTTCACCTATCCGCTCTTTCACCTGTCCGCTCTTTCACCCGACCGCTCTTTCACCTGACCGCTCTTTCAACTGTCCGTCCATCTCTTCGTTTGTCCGTCCGTTATTTAGTCCATCAGTCTATAACCATCACTGGCGTTTCAACCGTACATAAGATTTTCATCAAAATCAGACGTTCCGGTTGTCGTCTCTGCCCGTCCGCTTTAAACTTTTTTCCTAAATTTTAGAAATCATTAACAACGTTTTGTAAAAAACTACTCTTTTTTAATATTTTCTTCGAACACAGCAAAGTTCACTTAAAAAAATGTCGCAGGTACAAATTTCAGTAAACCTCTAAAATTTGGAAAACTGTAAAAGGGCAAATTGTTTTCGACTCCCTCCTCCAAGTTTATTTAAAGAGATGTTTTAATAATGAAATCTTTAAATCAACTTAGATTTTAAAATAATACGTATTATTTTTTCAATAAATTGGTAGCTTTCAAGCATTTTTTGAGAAAACGTGATAATTCTATAAAAAATAGGTAAACAATATAAACAATAGGGAAAATGGCTCCTAATTTTAAGAGCGTTGGGAGTTTTGGGAGCGTTGGGTTTAACTTAACCAGCGCTAGTTGGCTACCAGTGAGTAGTTTATGCTTTTGCGTTCAAATATCGATTCGAGAATATTTTTGCGGATAGAGTTTTGTGGAGTAAACCAGTCTTGCAGTACGAAAAAGTGCTATGTTGTTGAAGACGCACTAGTTTTACTCGTAATTTGGATTTTCCTAGGGAAAATAGTACATCAAGAAGTATTTGTTGTAGTAATTAAAAAATCGTGAATTTCAGTATTTTCGTCAGTATTGTTATATATATACATATTTATATTATATTCATATATATATATATATATATATATATATATAATGTATATAATTATATTCATAGTAAAAATTCGTAGCATTATGGCAAGATATTTGTTCAATAAAATGTTTCATAAAACGGTCAATATTTACTTTATAGAACAAAGCATCTCATAAGAGATGAGATCAAAGTGAACCATTGCTCTCGTAGGGTAATTACTTCCATGTACCAAAAGAGGATTAAAAATTTCGAACAGCACACTGCATATATCTGTATCGGGGAACAAAAGTGTACTTTACTATCCCTGGCTACAAAATTGCCTTACGTTTGATATAATATTGCGCCAAATGAACTAATTAAAAATTAAATTTGTTCAAAGTATTGGTTGCCCCGACCGGGACTCGACCCCAGGCCTACTACCCCCAAGCTACTGAGACAATGAATTCCTACAACAGTGCTCACGAGCTCGAATATCGCTCCTTGTATTATATATATTTGTCCCCATCCCGTCACCTTGTTGGACGCAATTACGCCCGGAGTCCCGTAACCGGAAAATTCTCCCAGCGTAATTGCGTCCAACAAGGTGACGGGATGGCGACAATTATAAAGAAATGAACATCCTTCTTTTAAAAAAATATGGCAGTATAACTAACGATAATTGCAAATTTGCGAAAACGAGCGAGCTTGTGCAGTTCCTTTCTCCGGAGGAAAGCTCGCGTAACATTAGTCTCGAGAGGGTTAAATTTCCGTGAAGTAGGTTTTTGAGGAGGAGGAAGGGGGGGGGGCTGGTGTTATTTTTATCGATACGAACGTCGGCGCGGCGCATACCTTCCGCCCGTGGGTCTTCTTGAATGCGCGTTGCCTGGCAACCGCGCCTCTCCCCTGTCCCTCCAGGCCGCGGGCAGTGGTCCATTGTGAAGTCTGTGCTGGAAATGAACTCCTGCGGGCGTGGGGGGCGGGGCGGGATATTCTCGGACGGACATCGATCACACGCCCCGGAGCGTGCCGGCTCCTCTCTGGAAGGACACAAAGGCAATGGTTATTACAAGGGACAGGATTTTTATGCCCTAAAAAAACTTGAAATATGCTTTTAAAAATATGCATTTGTGACCTAAAAATTATATAATATATAATATATAATATATAATATATATAATATAATATATAATCAATATAATATCTATTTAATATATATATACTAATATATAAATATATATAATAATATATAATATATAATATATATTATATAATATATATCATAAATATGTATTATGACCTGAAAATTATGAATTACGCAACCCGTCACGAGTTTAGAGAATGTTCCGCCTGGGGCGGTGCTACGCTGATGGGAGATACCTGGGGAAAACGCCACTAGCTGACAGGTGGTCGGCGCCGGATCTCGCCATACAGCGGGGGAAAGATAAGCCCACCTCCCGAGCAACAAACACGCATTACACCTACGGGACTAATGGCCCTCGTAGTTGTGCCCGAAATCACTAAGCAATCAATCAACCTGCATACGAATATGCAAATAAAATTAACAGTATTTCAATTCCTGTATGAAACCTACTTGACAAACTTCAGGAGGACGGCACGGCATGAAAATATACACATTTATATTTTTGTGCAAACATAATATAATCAACGTTATTTCGCGGAAAAAATACTCATTCAAGTAAATATGCGCCGGATCGGATGGCCGAGATCGCTAAAGCAGTAGTGCGGAAGCGATCTCGGACCGAAAAATCGCGTGTTCGGGTCTCGCCTCGGGCACAATTGTATTGTGTTCGTCATTTCACACCCCTTTCATCATATCGTGTCATCCTCACACTTACCATACCGTTACACGCAATAGTGGTCGCTAATGACCTCGATGTTGATGCGATCTTAAATAACAAAAAAAAAAAAAAAAAAGAAATACGCATCTTAGCGAAGTACTCTGTATGTGTTGTTTCATTTCTTATGCCTGGTTGAAAAATATGACATCAAGACATATCCTTCATTTGCTCAAGTATTTTATCAACTATAAAAAAAACGTACACTGAGACACGCTCTTTCGAATCAATGAACGCTCAATAATAAATAGATTTCATGTAAAAATGAAACATTTTAGAAGTAAGTCTATTTAAACGAAATATACAAAATATTCGCCTACAATTACATTAATATGCACCAACAGGAAAAATCAGCCAAATAAGCACAAATATGCTCTAATATATTAATCAGCATACCATCCAATTCAAATCAAATATCAAGAAATTGCAATTGATTGCCTGATTTCCCAAATATGCCTTATATTGCTAATGTCTGTTTTTCGCGTTCAGTCCCTTTGATGCAGAAATGGGGGATAATTTCCTAACTAGAACTAATATTACTTCGGTTTTTTATATACGGTATATTATATACTATCAAAAATTTCAATAATATTAATTTTGATATTATATATGGACAATATTTACAAAATGGAAGGAATCATCTACTAGTTTAACGTGTCACATACGGTGGGTACTTTCATGTTGAGCTTTAATTTGTGCAATGTAAATTCATAATAAAAAGTTTTAAACATAGTAATCTGGCTTGTCTATTCCCAGCAAAAAAATTATTTAAGGAATTATTGTTAGAGGTTCTTTAAAAAAAGCCTCAATTACATATGTAAGTGTAATTAACGTCAGGTAAATCGTGATTGAATAGTGCACAGGAAGAGGTCTAATCGTAAGTGACGGATGAACGAACCGACAAACGGACAGACACACGCGGGTTACTCATTTACTGAACAAGGATTAGCCGAGAAGAAAAATAATTGACCCGACTGATTCTGCCACTAACGATGTTTCTTTAACTTTGGGGTAGTCTGTTTCATATACTGGAGAATCCCAAAGATATTGTACTTCACTAACGTGCGAATGGCAAACTTGAAAACTAAAATAAAACTAAATTATTGGTTCTATCTGAAAGTTCCTATCAATATTCATGTCTATTCCAATATTACACAACAACGTCTATTTATGTCACCGACTTTGTACTACACAGACTGTACACTCTTTGTTTTGCTGCGGTGCAGCAACTCCCAGTCAAGACAATTAATATTCTGGTTGACTTTTACCGTCTAAATCGTATTTGCGTCCGATTTTCCTTCGTTTATAGAACAAATTCTAAGATGGTTCTCTCGCGTTGCTTCTGAACATTTAAATATGCTTTATGTCCTCCCTCTTCAGTTTCTCAAACGACGTTTTCTCAAAAATGGCTGCAATATTTATTTCAGATTTCCATTTGAATAGAGGTCTTGTTTTTCTAAGGTATTCTGAAAGTCCATGTTTTAATAATTAAGACGATTATTTATTAGAGGATGGAAAAGTGAGAAAAATGAAAAAATGTACTTGTTTTTGAAAAACGCAGTATCTAAAATATATTAGAGGAAAGAACTAAATAATTGTATTAATCGAAAATATATGTAAATGTTTCTTTAAAATTCTTGAAATTCCTGCGAGGTTAGTTAATATTAATGAGCGCGAGAAAGAACGTTTTAAAAGTCAAATTAACTTTCAAGCTTTCAATGAATGTATAGGTTCAGCAATGCTAAGCACACCATTGGCCACGTGAGCAACAAAAATTTCACTTATAAAGCAAGTTTCAGAAGGTACTACCAAATATTCTTATTCTGCGGTTTTCAAGCAGTTTGAGTGAGTTTTGAAAAGGAAGGTTGAAATATTACATGATAACATATTACATAAGTACATAATTGCAATATAATAATTATGTTTTTCGTAACCATTAAAAATAAAAAAAATAAAAACTGTGATATGTTCTAGTACCACCTTTACAAAACTCTGTTCAATGTGTTGAGCAGCAACATGAAATGCATGGCAGCTGTTTGGGCGGGGCAGGCCGACGGGTCGTGGTGCGGCCGGGACCGGACGAGGCTGGGTGAGGGCGGGTGAGGTCGGATGAGGTCGGATGAGGCAGGGCGTGAGGGGGCGGAATGGAGGGAGTGGAGCAGCGAGGCGGGGATGGCGTTGAATGTGGTGGCAGTGATGTAGGTCAGGGCCGACCAGGTAAGTGCCTCGTGTGCCCGGACCCGTCCCTCGTTGCTTCCGAAGCTGTCGGCCGGCGGAGAGAAGCCGAGGACGGTGAATTCGATCGCAAGCCGCGACATGCCGAACCTGAGGAATGCTGGGTTCCCCAACTGACAAGGGTGTTAGACAAACGGGCGTAAACAGGACGGAATGAGATGGTTCTGGGCAATGTCACTGTTCAGGTGGTTCTTGGATCCGAGACCCGATATTGGCGGATTTTCGACACTAACTGCCTAGCTAGACTGAATTCAATCGCTGTCTGCAGGAGAATGCCAGCGAACGGTTGCGCTGATCGGTACGTTTTTTTAAAACTTATTTATTTGTTCTAGATGGAATACATCGCTTAGTATAATTACTTTACAGATGCGTTTTCAAACTTATGCTAGTTAAAATATCTAAGCTAACTTAATATATACATTGGAGAGGATACTCTATGGGAGAACCTCAGGGTTATGTTACATGGTTGGCTAAGATTTTGAGAAAGGTTTCAAAAGGGAATCTATTTTTTATTCGGGTGAGGGTTGGATTTTTCGGTAGTTTGAAATGGGATGCTTCTGGGATGTCTGTTAGGTTTTGGTAGAAATTATTTGATATAAGGGCTATTTGGTTTATTAGTGTATTGATGTTTAATTCGGAATGGAGTTGTTTATTAGTTACGAACCACGGAGCATTTGTGATTAATCTGATAAATGTTTTTTTAATTACTTGGGTTTTATTGACATTTGTAGGGGCTACATTTGTCCATATTGGACATGCGTAGATCATTAGATTATATATTTATAAATTATTGTAGAGTTTGTGTATGACAGCGATTTGTTTGTTGATTAGTGGCCGGAGTTGGAATAATTTATTTCTTGCTTGTTTAATTTTGATATCTATATCGGTTTTCCAGGTTAGTTTTGTGTCCAGGTGAAGTATCAGTGCGTTTCCGTGGTTTCTCTGATCAATATCATGCAAATGCTGTAGAATTACCTAAACGAATGGGTCACGGGCCCCGCAATATCTTATCTTCCTCATCCTTGTCTCTTTTACTTTCCCGTACAACATACGTAGTATACGTAAAGTTATGTCATGTTGCGGAAAATCGATATCAAGATTTCAACGGAAATACACGTTTTGGGGTCCCTTGATATCGAAAAAGTGGTTCTTTTCAAAACGTCCGTCCGTCCTTCTGTCTGTCCGTCTGTGAACATCACTAGCGATATTCGCACATACGTGCGATATTCTCCAAAATGATATTCCCCGGTAGATCTGACCTGATTGGAAGCACTGCGATTTTCTAATTAATTTTTGAGGGGTACTTTACGTGAAGCACCTGAGAAATTTTCTCAAAAACGGCTCCAAATTTTCTCTTTAAATTTCTTGTAAGAATAGAGTAAAATACACCTATAAATGAGACACACATCTGATTTTCACGGTTAACTCTAAATTTTCGAAAATTGCAATAGTTCAATTTTTTCGGACGTTTTCCTACAACTACATTGCGTGCATATTAGCAATTTTAAAAAATAACAAAAACGTGATTTTCTCAAAAAGGTTCCAATTTTTTAAACATTTGGTAAGGGTACTACTTAATGTGCACTATGAGATGACACAATCATCAGTTTGCGCTATTCTTTTGTTTTTCAAGAATTACAAAAAGTAATTTTTTGACTTGTCTCTCGCGTGGTTAATATTTACTTAAGTGGTGATTTATTCACATTTATATATTTGTGAGTACATGTGCTTTAAATAATTTCATATAAAGTTTCTCGAAAACTCAACCACTTTCGGTTAAAAGTAGCTCGAAATTCGGCATTTTCAGAAACACTCAAACGCATTTTTTTAGAACGGCTCCAATTTTTTTCTTTAAACTTTTCGAACGGTAGTACTAATTGCTCTCTTTAATATGACGTAAGGTCGATTTTGTGCTATTTTTGTTTTTTCCGAAATTACACAAACGTAATTGTATTTTAAAGATCTCTCACGCCCTTAATATGCACATTTCCAGCAATTTGTAAACACTATTGTATTTGTTAGTTGAAGTGCTTAAAATGACTTCTAATGAAGCTTTTCTCCAATTATTTATCTCTATAACATATGCATTAAGCATGTTGCTAATGTGTCCATTGTGCAACGTAATTATGTATGCAATTGGTGATCTTGCCTTTTAAAACAATGTTTATATCTCTTCTTCAGCATATTTATCGGTAAAAAAATAGCCAATTTTCGACAGAAAAACTCTTATTACTGAACCCTGGCAATAAAAATGGAATAAATCTAGTTGCTACATTTAGAAAAAAATCCTCTAACACGTAGTGTAGCCACAATCCATGTTTTGTGAGTTCTTTATAACGCAAAATCAAATAACGGCAAAACGTTTGTCTGTCCGTCCGAGAACTACGCTAACGGCTAAACCGCTCAGCTGATTTTCCCCAAAACGGATATTCCTCAATCGATCTGGCTGACGTCTCGGCTCCTTGAATTTGACATCGATTTTAATTTTTTTCGGACGGGGGCACTTTACATGAAGCCCCTGGGACATATTTTAAAAATTGCACACGTAAGCTTCCGCGGCACGAATCCATAAATTCTGGGCTATCCGGGAGACGCCTCGTCGTAGGCTGGGAGGCCGACGTTTCGCCTGACATGTCGCAGGCTTCCTCAGGGCAGTGACTTCCTGTATAACCACACTGCCCTGAGGAAGCCTGCGACATGTCAGGCGAAACGTCGGCCTCCCAGCCTACGACGAGGCGTCTCCCGAATAGCCGAGAATTTATATTTTTAAAATTCCCACCAGGTATCTCCCCCAGAGCTACCGGATGACCTCCATTCATGTGTGTAGTGCACACTGTGTGAGTGAGTGTACAAAGGGACAGATTAAGACAAGGAATAAGGAAGAAATCGCCTTCGCCCACTTTTAATGATAATGCTCCGACCTTCGCCTGGTATAGATTGGAGAAATCAGTCAGATACTATCGACCAGAGAAGTCAGCCAGTAGAAATTTCCTCCAGACAGCAAATGAATTCGACGTGGCTTTTTAGATAATCCTTCACAGTCTGGACTCGAACCCTAGGTCCTCACGGTCAGAGTCGCTGTAGGAATAGCTTCAATGTAGGCTCTGAGATAAACTCATCCGGAAAGAGGTTTTTATATGGCAATTATTCTGAATCAGTTGAGTAAAATTACAAAGAAGGTTGGTTTTTGATGGTATTTTGATGTCTATATGTCTTGATTTGCAGTCGTCATTTCGTTGATTATTTTTCTACCTTTTTACGTCATTTTAATGCATTTTTCGCGGAATTAATCGATTTTAATATAATTTTAATGGAATTTCTTCAAATAATATTTTCGAGCTGCAACAACTGTGCACCAAAGAATTCCTGAGTACTCCATTCGATTTCTTCGATGGTGACGGACACTACCTACCTAAATTCCGTGGTGGTAGCAGATATCTTGTGGTAATCCATAATATGGTAAAGGAAATAATCTCCAAAAGTTAACTCTGGATAATAATTAATAAAAATTATGAAACTTTTGTGAATATTATTTCCTTTACCATACTAGCTACGTAGATAGGTTGGATTCAGCAGCTATCTTGAGGATAGTTGTAGCGACCGACTGCTCTGATCGTTGGTTTTCCATGGTTTCGTCGAACAACACAAGGAGTAGCCGGATCAGCACCCTATCAAAAAGGGCCATGGCCCACACGCGACAATTTCTTCTTCCTGATCCTATACTCTCCCCTTACACACACATTTACATGCACCACACTATCCAACATATCAAGAAAGAGCATATCCCAGTTGCGGCGGGAAATACCTAGATGGGGAAATCCCTCGCAAGTTAACTTGTAGGTCGGTACCGGATGCCACCAGCCAGCGGTGTAGGAACACCCACACTCTCCTGCATAAAGCATTCATTACACTATCGGCCAGAGTAATTGACGAACCCGGAACCTTCAATAAACCCAAAAAGTCACAAGAAGGCAGGCTGCCGTTCGAAAAGTCAACCCGCGCACGTGCCCTTTTGTCAAAGGGCGACCCGCGTGTGCCGGACAAGGCGAATGTGAGCGCGCGTAAAAATAGACGTGTGGTCATCGCGAGGGGCGAGTGGGTGAGCGAGCGTGCGCGCGTGCTACTTCAGCCTCCGCTGCGGTCGCGTCTGCTCCTCCGGCCGCACGCGTGACGCGACGGGTGACTCACGGGAGGCCATGGCTCGCCGCGCGATAAGCCTCCTGCAGATCCCCCAGCTCTGTGGTGGAGGATCGGCGATTCTTTGACCTGCTACATTAGTAGAGCACGGATTTTTTATGACCTAAAACACCGCCAGGAATGATCAGTAAAGTGGTTGCGTAGGCTTCCGCGGCCGGAGTTTGTTGGTTAGGCTATCCGAGACAAACCGCGTCAATGTCATGGTGGCTAACGTTTTGGCCAGCGTATTGTGGCCTTCTTCAGAGCGTACTTCTACAGAGCTGGATCAATAAAATGCTCTTAAAATGCCCTATAGACAGAGAAAAATAACGTAAAAAATGTGATCGAAACATGTTTGGATGAACAACTGAAGCTCGATACGTTACTGATGTAAACTTGATCAGTCTTAACCATGGAGCCAGAGACTGGTCATGTGTTTGCAAGTGTACTTGTTACCACGTGGTTGTTAAACGTAGATACCGGAAACACAGTCGGTTCAAATGATAATGCAGGATGGTACCAAGAAAAGTTTGCCTGTGTCTTCGAAACGAGGTTTCTTAAAAAAGTGTAAAGAAAAAAAAGTTGTTTGGAACTCGTAGATTACGATGCCGGTGTTTTTTCTGCGTGGTCTGGAACGTCTGCATGTAATTTTTTTTATGAAAAGCAGTAAAATTTCATTAATTTGTTTAATGACAAGGATCAACAATCGTAAACAGAACATTTCTTTCTAGTATAATATTTCATATTCGCTATTCAGCTTCATCTAAATGTTCATTCGTTTCAATGTTTTAATTTATTGTATATGT